AGAACGCACGGGGGAGGACCGGATAACTTACTTAAAAATTTAAAATATGCCTTTGTCCATTGGATTTTAGTTATCGAGTGATTTTTCTACATCCAAAACCCCGTCGTACATCCGAAGAGAGACAAATACACAATCTATATAAACCCCATTTTATTATGATGTGCAGAAGGGAAAATCCAGCTGAATATGAATAAATGAATAGGTTGCAGACGAAAAAACGTTTTCAACTGAGCATCATCGGTATGACATAGCTGCAATGCATGTATTAATACCAGGTTGCCGAAAAATCCTCGCACGAGCCTAAGAATCAGATGCTCATGCGCATGACCCTAACACGTGAAAAAAATCAAACTAAACTGCCAATCAGTTGTAGATAGAAATCTTTCGCTTAATACGCCTGACACAAATGACCACAAAATGTTCTACAGGCTCTTTTGTACTCCAAATTACCTACCGTTCTCGTGCGGGAAAAAGGTTTCATTGAATGTTTACTCATTGTATTTAACTAGTAAAAATCTTGCGATATTATTTAAAAACATAACAATTCTATTGCATTAAATCGCAAAAGTATTTTTATACGGATTTTTGAGTCTTTCAACGCTTATTGCTAAGATTTAGCATGCCAACAGGTATAGGTATGAATTTAAGTCATGGGCGACTTTCAACTTCTCATCACTTAGAAAATAACGATGACACTGAAATTGTACAATCGCATGAGACTCGTCGCAATCTGGACACTCAGCTTATGGGAAAGTGCACCTTTCTTTTTTATTTTGAATCGGAAACAATAAGCGGCTTCATACATGTATTTGAAAGCAGCGAGCAGTAGTTCATTTCGCACATTATGCGCCGTAAGCGCCCAAAAACAGTGAAGTATTGGTAAAGACTAACACAATATTTTAGGGAGATTATGATTCGTTAGGTAGCTAGGAACAAGCTTAAAACTAAATATGATAAAAGGGATACATTCTTAAGGCGCGATCTTCCAACACCACGTGCGGAATTTACCTGCTTGTACATACTATTGTTGCAGGTTCGACGATAAAAAAGGATTTTTGATTAACAAGCGATTTTTTTCGTACCCAGTCCATAACTCTTGAGCCAGGCCCCGATGGTCATGATCTCGTTTTCGTGGAAATAATAGAAGACTGGACGCCCACAAGTTATTTGCAAATAAACGGCTTCTTTAAAAGCACTAAATGAAAGGACCAATCGGTATTAAGTAATAACATCTGCATTTGAGTCCACGGTTGTCAAATTAAACAAATTTTGTGTGCGTTCTTAAGCTCTTCGCGAGAATTTTTTTCGTTTTCTGTTCTTGAAACAGCCATGCTTACATATTAATTCAATTCAAATTGTCACATCAGGTTTTCTCCCTATAAAATTCTCCTGAACTTTCAAAGTAATGAATACTTAAGGAAACTGGCAAACCTGCCTGGCGCGTGTGCCGGCCGGACATACTTCACCGCTAGCTTTTTTTACGTCGTCATTAGTTACTGACTTTTTTATGTCACATTGGTTTTTTGGCGATCACGTGAGATAAACACCTCCTTTTTCATTTATGACTTTTTTGCTTCACATTATACGAAAATTATTTCAAAATCGGTCACTGCAGCTATATAATATCTGACGAATGAGCACTAATATCATAGTTGCTCTTGACTTCAATCAGTGTGCAGT